GAACATAGGCCTCCCCCAAGAATTGAAAATTTTCGGAGCAAATGGTGTTAGTCTGTTTAGGTATCCAAGATTCATGATTTCTACAAGGGTGCAAGGGTATGTTCCGAAACATTTCCAGTATACTACCGAATACAAATGACGTCATTAATGGACACCATATCGTACTGGCGTGCCGTCGCCATATTGTGTCGGATATCTGGCCTTATTAAAACAGTTTTTAATTGTGTGTACGCTGAATGAAGCACGCCAGAATTTGTTTTTATTTATTCAAATATAAAAAAAATATAGAATAATTGCTGGTAGTAAGTTGCCATTAGAAGGATACAATGACTTTTGGAGCACAAAATGATAAAATAATCGCCAACTCTTATGACGCAAATGTATGATGTCATATACTGTAAAATGTTTTGAAACGAATCACCAGTATGGCGTCGATTTATGACGTCATTTGCATTGAACAGTACACTGGGTTCTATTTTGGAACATACCCCAAGTCTGTCTGTCCACTGCCTAAGAGGATCTCCTGGAAACATTTGAAATCAAACCAATAATAGCAAAATTTACTGTTTTTTGTAATACTTTATTATAAAATCTAAGGATCTCCTGGAAACATTTGAAATCAAACCAATAATAGCAAAATTTACTGTTTTTTGTAATACTTTATTATAAAATCTAAACATAATATAAAAACCGGTTCGGCAGACAAACCCGAATAGTTATGCTATACTTATACGTGGTAGAACTACGCTGAAACTATATTATGGTTGTAGCATGAATGCGTCGAATCGACCGGGGAAGGACCACGCTCTTACAGAATACCAGCGTAAAATGGCAGCTTATGGTGAGTGTAGAGATCCGGAGACCCTTTTTTACTGGAAACAAGGCATTTCATCTTAGTCCTCAGGGGTGACAACGCATCTGCGTTTTGATTCTTACTATAGGGCACAGCATCCACTTACCATCAGTTGAACTGTGTGCTCGTTTGTCACCCATATTCTATAAAAAAGTTAATTAACTTATCAATAGCTAAAATTGTGGCGTACGTCGCTACATTGATGTATAAAATACTTTCGATTGCAGTGATACCAGTTTATTTTATAAAAATTGAATACTTTTGCTACGAGGTTGCAAGTGTCGATTCTACTCATTTGGCCTCTATTTTGTATATTATTTTGATAAATACTAGTTATCGATATATTAAATTGTCGTTTATTCAGAATCGTGTTGATATTGAGCTGAATATTTAAATCATTTGATAAAATCCACTATAAGCATCTTAATGTCATGATAATTATTCATCACAAACTCACTTAGTTGATAGTAAATAAATTTGTGGTAATATATTTAATTTGTGTAGTAAACTATATTTAATTCAAAATAGCGGTAATTTTATACTTTTGCGGTCACCTCGTTTTTTGGCTTTAGAAAATGGAAAAATCTTTCGATTTCGATGATTTTTTTTAAATCTTCATTATTACGGCGGATTAATGAAAAAAATTACAAGAATTAAAAAAATGAAAATTTATATTGGTTTCAAGGCTTTGAATTTTCATGAAAATGCACTCATTCACGTATAATTATTGATAACTTTTTTTTTAAATAATGAAATGAAGTTGTTTTAATAATCTACACAAAAAACAAACATTTAAAATTAAAAAAATTAAAAAAGTTCATTTTTTTTGTTTTTATTGAGTGTAGGATTCTCTGTCTACGATTGAGTGTAAGATCGAGCGATGCTAGCTCGGGACTTAGGGCATCCCGACTCGCACAGGTTAGGTTAGAAGGAGATGGTGGGATCTATTCGCTCGCTCATTCGACCCCGCCATCTCCTTCTAACCTAAACTGTCCAAGTCGCGATACCCTAAATCCCGAGCTCGCTTCACTAAAAAATTAATAAATAAACATTATTATATGTTTTATTTTTCAATTTTTTAAATTCTGCATGATTTAGATTAAGATATAGCAATCAATGTCAAAGATTGCATAATTTTTTTATTTTGTTACAAGATTTTTCGAGGACAATATAAGTTATAGCTTTATTTTTGAATGTAATCCATAGTTAGTTCTTTTCATTTTGGATTTTGTTTTCGTAAAAATGAAGATTCAAAAAAACTCATCGAAATCAGATGATTTTTCGATTTTCTAGAGCGTTTATACATTTAAAGTCAAAAACTTAAAGTGAGATAAAAAATTAATAAACAAACATTTTCAATGTTTTTTTTAAATATTTGTTTTTTTTTTGTGTAGATTAACAATAAAAATATACAAACTATATTCAAAGAAGTGCGTTTATGATCACATTTAAAGCCACAAAACTGTATGAAATCTTGAGATGAGATATTTTCCATACGTTTTCCATAAATCCGCCGTAAAAACGAAGATTTAAAAAAATATTTTTATTTTTATTATTAGATTTTCTAGAGCCAAAAAAAAAAACGAGGTGACCGTTTTTGAGGGATTTTTGTATGAAAATACACTGCAATCAGGCATTTTTGTCGGAGCTCAATTGACTGGCACGATCGCTTGCGGAATGGCACACTTTTTTTCGGGTTTTTTGTTTATTGGTGTTGTGTTTTTTGGCTTTTTAGGGGGGGGGCAGGTTTGTTTTTTGCGAGGCTCGGCCTGGGACACGGGTTGGTGTTTTTGGAGCAACTTGTTTTATATAACGGGTTTGAGTCGGACTCTCGTACCTTTAACAGAGGGGTATACCTTGCGTATGCCACCTCCTTTGGTTCAATACTCAAAGATGACTTATCCGTTGGGAGATTGAGCATAGTGCTGAAGTTCTCTAGCTATTCAGCCCTAATGACTATATCGTCGGCAAAACAAATGTAAATGTTGTCGTCTCGTTTAATATAATTTTATTTATATATTTATTATATACATTCATTGTAGAGTCTGTTTCATAAAAGAAGTTCCACGAAAAATGTGTGAATTCAAATTTAATGTATAGAATTTGACAAGATGTCAAATTTCTTTTTTCTTTATTAACTGGCTTTACGGCTCTGATTTCTAGACCTTCTGAGCCTATCCTTTCTTTTGGAGTCTTCATTTTATGTTCTTTTTCTTAACAATATGATGATGCGTCACATTGCGAAGCCCTTGGGAGATTTTGACGACAGCTCAACATAGCGGACAGTTGATGACGACAGCCACTAAAGTTAATAAGGCGCCCAAGCGATTAAAACAACTTGAGGTTTATATCGACATCAAAGCACTTGTTTCGTCATTTTTTCTAATAGTTCACACGCGCGGACACTTAATTCACAAAATCCCATCACTTTTACGAATCAAAATCCACTTCAAACCATTAATCAAGCGACAAAACAGGAGCGACAATCCGCCTACGGCCAAGTTCCCGCCAAAACTCATGTCAAACTTCGCAAGGAATGTGGTCATGGAGTATAGAGGTAAGGAGCACCATCTCACATAGGAGAATAGTTGAAAAAGTGTCCATCTGTAAGCAGTAAATAACAGTTCAAAACTCTCCACACCAGCGCTGGACTAGCTAGAGGGTATGAAATAAACTTAGTAGTTGTCAACGGAGTGAAATGTGCTGACTTGAGGACTTTAATATATGTGGTGACTAGCGTAGTTGATGAAACTGCAGTATTTAAAACCTCAACTACTCACGATGTCTAAAATAATTTAGTAAACATAACCTAGAAAAAGTTACCGTGAAACACGTTGAGAGTGATTTTGAAACTAAACATTTTGTAACAATAAAATAATTATTATAAAAAAGAATTATGTTGAAAGACTATGCAATAAAAAATTATAAAAAGTTCTTTAAAATTTAACCCCTAAATATAGTGGCGCCACCCTTATTTAGCGCTTTCTACGGACTTTTTTGTATAGAGTTGGTTCTCCTTACCTCTACACTCCATAACTGTGGTGCCGCGGTTAAGTGACTTCCATGGAGGTTAGAAAACAGGAAAACGATTGCCGTAGAAAATAGTGTCCCAGAAATATGGACACCATAAGTGAGGCGCTGCGATTGCTAAGTTCGCTCAATAAAAGTCATTTTCAGTTTATTTTTCCGATCAGATGCTATATGCTAAACCACTTGCACATCCACGCACAATAAAATATTTCTCCATTTTTTAATACTTCTTTGTCAAAAATTACAAAATTACTGAGCATGAAAATTTTCTCATTAAAAATTAAATGAAAATTTGTACATTATTCAACTAACTTCATCTACTTGTACTCATAAACAGCTAACTTCGCCGTCACTACTTACCGACGTCAGCGCCGCTATAAATTCTACAATTTTCAAGGACACGCGGGCTATGCTTTAGTACGTAGTGATCGTTCTCCTGTTCTTTAACCTTCATGGTGACTTCATATAATTATAACAATATTAAACAATATAAAGTCGTTTTCAATACGAACTATTTTTTCATTAATGGAAGTAACTTGAAATTTATTATTGTAAAACCGAAAAAATAATTGAAGACAGAAAATATCTTACGAATGAAACTTTACTAGACAAATCCTTTCAAGGGGAAAATTCCATGTACAATGTGATGAAATTTTGTGGGATAACAAATAAAGAATAACTGGATAAATCCATTTCAACAATTACAGAATTAGTCTTCTGATTTAACTTTTTATTTATATGCTTAGAAGATATAGGGATTACTTTAATTTAGCTAGCTACGTATTTATTTATTTATGCTTTAATTTTGTTAATTTAATAGGAAGCCTTTGAACTTGAATGCAGCCTTATTGACGTTTATGTTTGTATATAAGTTGCAATCTTGTATAAGTGAAACAGTATCGGCAATCGTATTTTATTATATATCTGTCTCTTTTCTTCCAGCGCATAAAGTCTTCGTTAGAGAAGGTAAGACGATTTATCTTTTAAATTAAGTTACACTTACCGTAGTCACAAGACTTCTCAGCTGAGCCTGCCTTCTTTCTCCTTTCTAAATAATTATTTGTTACTAAAAGTTTTTATTGTTAGAAAGCTTATTTCGAAAAATATTGTGGCCGAAATGGCTAATATTAGTGCAGAAAACGTTAGCAAACTTATACCTTCACTTGGTGACGACAAAATTGGTAAGTATTGACTTATATCTTGTTAATGATGACAAGAGTAATATGCAACAAATTGCATTTAAAACCATTCTTATTCCTCTATTTTTCATCTTATAGATATGATTGCTGCTACCAGTGTATTACAAATAAGGGCGAGTGAAATACGTCAAACTCAGATTAATTGGCAGTCCTATTTGCAGTAAGTATTGATTCTTCACAGATTTATAATTTATATTGCTATTATTCTATCAAATTATTCATTGCATTTTAGTTTCTAATGTTAATTTTTTGTCATCACTATGACAGGTCTCAAATGATCACCCAACGTGATCATGACTTCATTGTTAATTTAGATCAGCGTGGTCAGAAAGATTTGCCAGATAAAAACCCAGAAGTTTGTGCCGAAGTGTTCCTTAACCTCCTTACACATATATCTAAGGACCATACTATCCAGTATATTCTTGTTCTTATTGATGATATTCTGTCTGTAAGTATTAAACAAACCTATCTATATAAAATACAAAAGTTGTTTCTGTCTATGTCTGTTATAGACTTTGAAACCATCCAGCCGATGTGCTTCAAACTGGTTTCATTAGAATTATGCAAAGATGGTTTTAGACCACTAAAACAGTACATTAAGCACTATATAAAAAAGTTAATAAATAAACAAAAATTCTTTTTTTCCAACAAATAAACAAAATATATTTCTTTTTTAGCGTATGAGCACACTCCGGGTGCCAGTGAAATATAACAATTTATTAACATTTAAATTCAAATTTAATTGAACAACAAAAAGTAATGTGAAAGTTTAAAGCTTTGTAGTAAATAGATCAGATTTTTTAGTGTGATCCTAAATTATTTTCATAGTTTGAATTTTTAACATACTAAAAATTAAAACAGAATATGCTTTGCTGTTACCTTTAAAAATCTATGGGCTCACCAATCCAAAATTATCACTTTTAAATGACTGTTTGAAAGATCTACTTTTTTAGCTTACATATTGTTCATTTCAGCTAGGAAACCCATAGTTTATGAGAAAATTAAGAAAAAAATTACTATTTTCTTCTATAATGTTGTTAGTTTGAGCTATCATAAACCAAAATCTATTGGAGTTTTATAAAATTTAAATATTTTTACTTTGTAATTAAAATTATAAATAATATAGTAGTTATATAATATATATGTTATGGTGTAAAATATGTTTCACCTTATTATTTTGTAACGTATATTCTTTAATGGTTTACTCAATTATTACATTTATTCTTTGCCCTCGAACATTTTGCTAGAACTTCAAGCAAAGGAAGAACATGTCAATAGCAATTACACAAGCTAAATTATTTCTTTTATTATTTCCTATTTTAAAAATGTCTTATCATGTTGTTTTATCATGGCTTGACATTACACTGTAGTGCGGACCACAAATAATTTTTCAGATTCTGAATGTTTGTCCATGTGAAATTTAAGTATGTATGATAAACAACTCCATGATACAGTTTTATTTTCAGTACCTTTGCTCTAGTCATGACAGAAAACTGTGTTCTTTGAACAATCTTTTACTAAAGTGTCCTTCTCATAAATCTGGCTTCCTGCATTCTTCCTTCACCGTACAGTCTTTTCTCCTCTGGAATGCACTTCCTCTTGAAATTAGATTGGCTAATAATTGTTATGAATTCAAGAAAAAAGTTCCTGAACATTACATAAATAAACTGGCAGAATAATCTCATTAGTAGTATTTATTTATGTTTTATATAAATAAATAATTTATGTAATTTATTATTTTTATGTATATACTTTATATAATATTATACAATATTATAATACTATGTATGTATTAAATAATTTTTGATATGTAAGTTTATGTATGGGTTTTTGTATTATTTTGTTTTATATTTATATACTTTAATTTACATAATTGTTGTCTAGCGTTTCACACACCACACCCACTTCATATTTTTATCTGCATCACCCAAAGGTTGACTGGTAGAGAATGCCTCAGGCATTAAGTCTGCCTATACATACATATTGTATGAATTTTTAATAAATAAATAAATACAGAAGAAATTACTAATCTAGGTACAATGTTTTTTAGAAAGACGATAAAACAACTATTTTGATTTTTTTTTATAAAACTGCACTGTTCCATAATCAGTCTAGTAGTAGATATTGAGAATTCCTTCAATGTTTCATTATCATCATCACCATTATAGCCCTTCACAAAGCCACTGCTAAATATAGGCCTCCCTCAAGGAAATGCCTTAAGGCCCAGAGCCACCTGCATCCATAGACTTACTGCGTATCTTACCAGGTTGTCACTCCATCTAGTTTGGGCTACCCTGCACTTACCGCTTCAATATTCAGTCCTATTTATATATTGTGTAAAGCTATACCTTATTTTAGGAAGACAAGTCTAGAGTAAAGATCTTCCGAGAATCCAGGCATGGAAATATCTGGCAAACTTTCTTGAATTTGTTGAACCGTCAAGATGAATTTGTCCAACACATGACAGCTCGCATCATTGCCAAGCTTGCATGTTGGCATTCACAACTCATGGACAAGAGTGACCTGCACTTCTATCTGTCCTGGCTCAAGGATCAACTTAAAATGAATGTAAGTCATTCCTCTATTAACTTTAACTCATACTAAATATTTTATTTTGCATGAATTTGAATTTTTGTATAATTCTATTTACATGTATATATTTTGTATGTTTGTTAATGTTTTTTAAATGTTATCTTCTTTTGGAAATTATTACTAATGCTTAGCTACCATCTTCTAAAACATTTAATTATAATATATGATTCATTATTATCACTGTACAGTTTTAAAAATAAAACCTTATGTTAGTTAACGATTATGTTTATGTTATAGTGCTCAATGAAATTTTACTAACCTTATATAATAGAAATTCTACCATTGTAATTCATAAAGGGAGAATCATTGGATCATCAATTTAGTTTAATACTTGCTTATGTACTTCTTATATTAATAATTATTCATTTATGTCATTGTATTTATTTGTCATCACATTTTAATAAAAAAGATTAAAAGTTTTATCATGCTATTTTCCTAAATACATTTAGATGGCTGTTTCATTGGAACTTTCTTTCCATTTTATAGTATTTATTTCCTCATGTATAAATTTAATAGTATTTGATTTCAAAATATGTGATAATAATGTTTTTGGTTTTGTAAATAAAACATTTTATTATTTTTTACTTAATTTTACGAAGATTATGAAGCTATACCAATTTTCTATTGTGTTATTCTGTACATTGTAGTAGATAGTAATTAATTTATGGATTTCATACTTGATGACATCTATTGAACTTGTAATGTGATATTTTAGAGTTAATGATTGTAATTATTTAATTACAGATTTCTTATAATTTTCATTAAATGGAGCAGTGTTAAAAAATTAATGTTAAAAATAAATTTGTTGTGAATTAACATTTATACTTGGAATAGATCAGAAAACTTCTCTATTGTGTTTCTTGTGCAGGGAGGAAAACGAATAATGTCCTTTAAATGTACTGTAGGGGATAACCAACCTTTTTACTATTGTCCCATTTCAAGCTTTTACACACACACACACACACACACACACCAACGCTCCCACCCACACACGCTCCCACACACACACACACACACACACACACACACGGAACTACCAACCTACAAGAACTAGGTCCCCTCCAACACCGCCATAACAAGGTGGCACTCCTATTATACAAGGTGTTGAATTGGTCCTCATTCGCAGATGGGAGCATAAAAAATATTGATGCAAAGACTGATTTTCTAGAAAATGTATAAATCAGCCTTTATCTTTTAAACCAAGCAGTTTGGGGATAGGACTTTTTTCTTTTGTACAGTTCTTCCATGGTCTACAATCCCCTTTCGTTTGATTGTTACATTCTGGGGCAGCCTGTATATATGTAATGTAATAATATAACTCTATTATTTGTATACCACAATCGTTCTCTGATGACAAAGATGGGTAAGAGGCTGTCAAATTTGAAACTATTTACAGTTTTTCTATTGATTGATTAATATAATTAAAACCTACCGACCCTTTGACATGGCGAAACAGGTTTGACCGTACCTCTCACCCCACCCTGTACTATGTAAATTGGTACAAAGCGTAAGTGATAAAGAAATGTATGGAAAAGGATATGTTTTGTTTTCTTATATACTTTACAGTGTCATTTTCCGTATTTCCGCCTGCCCTAGAAACACTTCAAAACATAAACATTAGTTTCTGAAGTACTCGGAACTAACACACTGTCAACATCAACATCAACATTCACCTTGCATCGTTGGGGCATTGTGGACATGACTGCATTTTTATCACTGAGAGGTTTGTTTTCTGGTAAGGCGGAGAAAATGTCTGCCGAGTTAGAGCGTGCCGAGCAGGTTATGTTGGCGCACGAAAAACAGCATTTCGTCGACAAGCATAAACACCACAAGGATAAGGATTCTGAAGGAGCCCACGAGAAATATTCGAGACTTAACAACTCTTTCGATGATGTGAAATCACACGAGGATTTACCACCAGGTCTCCATAAGGTACACCATGTGTAGATGTCAACACAAGACCTGAATGTTTATAGTGTAAATTTAACAATGAATTCGGTGATTAACATGGTATAATTTACTAATAATAATTGTATATACATCTTTTAAAAAATAACATGTTATAAATAACGGTATTTGTATTTTGCGTGCTTATATTAAAATTTCCATTAATGACCAAAATATTTGTATTTTGCTTATTGCTTTTATGTAAAGAATAAGTTAAATGATATGCTTTAAGTGAATATATTTAAGATGCAAATGACTTTTTTTGCTTTTTAATGTCTTCAATAACTTTCATTCAATTTCACATATAACCACCATGCATCTTGTTTCTCTTGATGACTACGGAATTTTACTTGGAACGGGCTATTCCGTTTATCCATCCTAAGAAAACCATCCTAGGGTGAATACTCTGAAAGACGTGTATCCACCCCAGACACTTTGGATAATCAGAATTCACTTTTTCATTGCTGTTCCGCCTTTTAACCCCAAGTACAGTTAAAAAAAATGTATTCATACTTTAATATATTATTGATTAATTTTTAATAACAAGTGTTAGTGAAAAAATGGGCGTTTTTTTGCAAGCAATCCTAAAACTTTACTAAACTAGGATGTTTGTCTTTATCTTCATTTGTAATAGTCTTATGCCAAAATTTGTAGTTCTGTGAAGGCACTCTGAATGAATTCCGAACAGCCACATAATTTTCGTTCTTGATATATCTCATCATCATCACCTCAGATGATAGATCATAGTATCTCACAAACGCCATCATATTATCATCATATCAAAAAAGATTTAACAAACAGCCATCATTCTATAAACGACTATACACAGGCGAGGGAGAAAATTGAAAGAAAACAATATACGAATTCCGATTAATGTTTGTTTATCCACACTGTCTGGGGTGGATAAAACGAACACGCGTTTCCAAGTATCCACCCTAGGGTAGATTTCTTTGGGCGGATAAACGGAATAACCCCCTTGGAACATTTATTAATTCATTTATTACTATACATAGGCCCCCATAGGTTGTTCCATTAGGTGTTATTTTTACAAGCGGGTAATGTTTTTCGAGAGTATGTATGTATGTATATTTCCATGGCACGCTCTGTAGCCTAAACAGCTTGATTTTTACTTATGAGTGTCGTTAGATTTGTCTTAATTGTAGGAGTGACAAAGACTATGTAATAATTATATATTACATCTGCAAATACAAAAAAAGGGAGGAAAAGGTTTTCAGTAAACTCTTTGTGTTACAGTCCTTTGAGTATTCAACCAACTGGTGAAGCTATGCGCGTTAATTCCTAACCAAAAATTCTGTCAACATCAGGGGGGCGCAAGAAAACCACACAACTGTATACTTAACTATAAATGCAAAATTAAATCGCGTCACTATAAACGCACACTACAGCATTTGTGTTTGTGTTCATCGCGTTTACGCATACCATCAAATTGTACACGTGTCGATACACTGATGGCGCTGTATGCGTAAGCAACGTTAGGCGTGGACTATTGAGATGATAAACCATAGTCCGAATAAGTTTTTATTTGATTATAAGTAATACATAGATAAATAATACCAAGGTAATATTTGAAATTCTTTTTTTAAAGTATTTAGAAATGTTCTTCGGTAAAAAACTTAGAAATTATTGAAAATAAGTTTATTATTTTGCTACAGGTTTATTTTTAATTATGCAGGATAAAATTTAAAACAATTAACAATTCGAAATACTCGTAGGTTTAGTTAACTTATTTTAAAAATCAGATTTTTTGAAAAGAAAAGTCTTATCAGTTTATCGTCTTAGATGGTGTTAACCAAGTTTTTGTATTTATTATAAAGCTTCAATCACAAAATCGCTAATTAAAAATAGTTGTTGATTTTCAAGAGTTATTAAATGAACTGTCTGCAAAATATTTAATAAATTAGGAAAACAAAAAACTATTACACTACATAATAGTTTAACAAAGTGAACTTTAAGCAGACAGCTGTTAAAAAATAAAACGTGACATCTACCTAGGGCTAAGTATTCCCCAGAAAGATGTTTTGCTTTAACTTTACATTACTATTCACCGAAAGCGTAACAATATGTGCGAAATATCAAAAGTTTTGAAATTGGTCTGCCTTCACATACTATAACAAAGTGGTACAGTACAATTTATGGCCAACTTGACAAAAAAAAGCGTTAACTGTTTTAAAACTTAGACTAGAGAGTAACCCTGACAAGAAATTATATTGTATTTTAGTGATAGATGAAATGAAAATAAAACAATTGACGGAGTACATAATGCCTTTGGCTACTAGCATAGTATTCTGTCAATTGCTTAATTTTCATTTCATCCATTACTAAGCTACAATAAAAAAAAATCGGGGTTACTTTCCGCTCTCAATTTTAATGCCGTCAGCGCTTCTTGAGTAAACCCTGGTCGGTGATCGATGGTAGTGTACCACTTAGTCAATGTATGGGTGCAGGCAAACATGTTCCAAAAGTTTTACGTACATAGCGATAGGCTTTTGGTGAGTAATAGTTAAGTGTTAGGGCATAGTATTTCTTGCAAACTTGTGAAGCCTGTTTATGCTATTGTTTTATATGTCAAGGCATTTTTTCATTTTAATTTTCCTTGGCCTAAGTGTAGGACTAGTTCGGGCTATATAAGGATTTTTTTTCGAATTGTGACTTTCGATATAACTTATGGAATTTTGCCAGAACATCCAGCTTTCTTTTTTCGATGTAGACGATATTGTGCAATCACCACGATCACTCTAAAATAAATAATTTTATTTTAGTCAGAAGATTCAAGCCAATATATATATATATGTACAACATGTAACATAATTAACGCACTTTGAGAAAGTAGTTTGTTTAGAATCGTTTACTGAATCGATTCTTATCATTTTTAATATAGGTAATTTTTATCCCAAAAATAATTAAAACTACGTAAATTACAGTCACACTAAATCTGTACAGTCAAAACAAACCGAAATGGACCGTAACTTAAGGCATTAAGACTTTTAAGAGTGCAGTTTTATTTGTATTATTACTAATTCTGTCATTCAATAAAAATAAATAAAAATGAACTTTATTTCAAGCACGTTAAAGTCTTTGCATTCGTGGATTTGTAGTGTGACCACAACATTCTTCCGGAATTAGTATAACTAATTTTATAAATAATCAATGCATAAAAATGTTTAACTAAAAATTCAGTGTATGTATTATGATTATAACATAATATACTAATTGGGATGTCTGAGGGTGTGCATTAATTACGTTACATATTGTGTGTATATATATATATATATATATATATATATATATATATATATATATACATACATATATATATATATATATATATATATATATATATATATATATATATATATTTTATTTTAATGTTCTACAATTTTGTCTAATAATTTTTTTCTTATACAGAACAACGATTACATCCAGTCGGTGGCACGCTGCCTACAAATGATGCTTCGGATTGATGAGTATCGCTTTGCTTTCTTGTCTGTTGATGGCATTTCTACTCTTTTATCCATCCTCGCATCCAGAGTTAATTTTCAGGTTTGTAATATTATATTATATCGCTCTCAAATGGATATTTTAAATAGTATTGGCTAATTATAAATGGCTAAAAGTAGAAATAATGACTGTTCCAAAAAAAACATAAATAAATAAATATTAAAGCATACTAAATGAAATGGCCACAAATGAGTAAATTTTTATATAAAACTCGTTTTTATTTTAATTTACCGCGTATATTAATTTTATATTCCCGAGGTTTCGAGCACTTTACATGGTCACGGGTAGTATATCCAATGTCGGTATACCTAGATTTTCTAATTCCGCGGTGAGCAGGATTGCGTGTGCGGAATCCGCGTATTTGCGGGATTTTTTCAACAAACACACTGGAAAGATCGCTGTCGAGGTTCTTTGTCGGTAAGATGCCAAACTTATTATAGCTGAAGCGACTTTAAAATTCATGATCAGTAAATTAGAAGTTAGTTCAACTTCGACGTTAGCTGCAGGGTTGATTGATCCATTTATTTATGTCCGAAGTCTTAGTAAGTACTATCAATAAGCCTCGATAAACGACAAAAACTTCAGCTTCCCATCGAAAAGTGTGCTACGGAATGAAATAAAAAAGTTTGTCCAAATATGTATTTCATTTTTTTTTTTGGACGATATTGATGAAGATACTGATAACTTTCTATTGTTGGGGCGGCGAGTGATACGACACAAAGTGATGACGACAAAAATGACGAACCGCAAGTCTTGTCACTGCAAGAACGTCTCCGTCTCTGTAAAATTATTTTAGGTCGCAACTCCCCACTTACCAGAATGATGTCATACAACCATATACTAAATTCCATAGAAATAGATATAATGTATACACCGTTGTCTAGATTTAAGTATTTGATCCATAAAAATTTTGGAAATATATAATAAAATTATTAGGTTTATGATTAGTATTATATAGACTCTAAGCATTAAATCCACACACTGTAGCTGTAGCAAATCTGTTTTTCCATGTATACTTATTAGCATATTATTATGTTTCCTTTTTCTTTTTTAATAATCACTTCGCTTTTTATGTAAGTTGTGGCTACATGTAAGAAGATGAACACGTAGCATATAGTCGCAGTGTTGAATTATATTTTTGTTAGTATTGTGAATCATCTGTTGGTGAACCAAATAAATATATAGAGAAAAAGAAAAAGTAAAATTAGAACTCACTCTAGCTTCAGTTTCAAACGTGAATCGTTATGTAATGTCCAGAGTCAATTACATCGAGTTCCTAATTTAAAAAAAATTAATGTTTAAATCGGGAGGTTCGGTGGGCAAGCGCTTTATATTGACATATAATATGACAGTGAATATCCTTAAATCTACCTCACCCACAAATGTGGTAGCCTTATAAGGGCTTTCTCTGCTGCAGGCTGTCTATCATCGCACATTCGAGGCAGTCTGGCAGACGAGACTTTGGATACTTTATTTTTTCTTCGTAAACATTTTCAAAAAAAGAAGTCCTAACCTATTTTTTTTTTCATTGTTTCAGTTCAATAGCTCATTATAATTAAAAGTAATAATGTTTGTCAAGAGTAAATGCATACTTACAGATTTTTTATTTTTAACATATAATTACCACCTCTTTTCTTTACGCTAAACTCGATAGGCAACTTAGCTCATGTAGGATTTACCTACATTTGCGAGATCCTGCAAATTCCGGGATCCACCGGGATCGAATATAATCAACCCCGCAAATACAGAAATTAAAAATAACGGACGAGATTGGATGCCCTAGTCACGGGAGGCAGGGGCATCAGATTTAATAGACCACAAATTCTCGCTAAAGAACACCGATTCCTTCTAAGAATGATTCACGTGCCTATTGTAATCAAACAACATCCTAATTTCATTAGAGAATATGGTTGACTGCTACCACCTGTGGGATCTTATAATTAATGAAATTAAATCCCAACCCAAGCATACAAATGCAAGACTTCAAGATACTAAAAGCTCATACTGCGTAGAACGGAAAAAAACTAATAATTTTAATCTGAAGGTAGCCGTGGTTAAATATGACGTTGGGTCGTCGAATACTTCAAGTCCCCCCTCCCCCCGTGACCATCGGTGCTCGAAACGTCGCGTTAAAATCTGTAAAAACTAGTTTTATTTAAATGTGTATGTGTAGTGTTGGCGTAAATATAAGAAGTCGTTATTGAGTAAATTTTATCTTTTTAGTTAGTAAGTAGTACAGTAAATAATGTATTTTATTGCATCTTAAAAAATAATGACTTTTCAATGTAAAAGAATATGTTTTATTTTGCCACAGGAAGACTTTGACTGACCTTGCATTGTCGTCTCTATTAGCAATATTGCTGTTGTATGACAAGACAATGTTATCACATCAAGATATCTTTCGATAGGTATACCAGGAATATTTAAAACTTTTTCTTTTATTTTCAGGTGCAATATCAGCTCGTTTTCTGCCTATGGGTGCTAACTTTTAATCCCCTCTTGGCTGAAAAAATGAACAAGTTCAATGCTATTCCGATTCTTGCTGACATCCTTAGTGACTCTGTTAAGGAAAAAGTTACTCGCATTGTTCTGGCTGTATTCAGAAACCTCATTGAGAAACCTGAAGACCAACAGGTATAAATACTTCACTCTCATAATGTAATTCAAAATTAAATCAAGTGAATTTATACATAGATTTTTTTAATTTGATATAAAGATAGAAAACCACCATCAAAAATGTAATGCAAATAATTGCTTCAGATACCATATTGTTACGAGCTTGAGGTTCGTGACAATAAAAATTGCCGATAAAATTACCTAAATTAACACTTTAATTTACTTTACACAATTAAAGTTAAAACACTAATAATTTAAACACACTAATTCACTTAATTCCACTCCGAAGCTTCGCTTGTGTCGCCGAGTTCACTCTGCCTCGATCGCATCTTGCAGCGCCTATATATTTAAATTAGCAAAGAAATATCCAGAATGTTCAAGTAAACACGGGCAAAGTACCGAGCGTTCGAGTTTCGACTAGGCGCTGTCAGTTGAGTGATTTATGGTGTCATTCACTGCAAAGCTCCCCTCGCTCTCGTTCCTGACACTAGATGGCGCTAGTGTGTCGTTGACTGTAGCGCGTAACACTGCCCCCTCCTAAGACATGCTCGTCCCGAGCATTATCGGCCCCATAATAACGCGCCAAGCGATTCACATGGACGATCTTAGGAGTCCCTCTTGCGCCTTTCTGTAACGGCTCCGCAATGTCAAGGGCTGTTCTATCCCGTGATGCACCAACATTGTACAATTTCGGTGCTCCTCTACTACGTGTCTGAGGTCCCCGCACGGCCGCACAACTTGTACATGTACGACACCAATCCTCGACATCGTCACGATAATAGACCCAGTAAAACTGTTCTCGGACCTTCAGTAGAGTTCGTTTAACTCCCAGATGGACTCTTGAACGACCATTATGGCACAGCTGTAGAACATTCGGCACTTTAGCTTTAGGGACAACCATTTGCAAACGACAGCTGTCCCTTCGACCACTATCCCATTTACGGCACAGGACTCCATCCTGAATCAGCAAGCTGTCCCATTGGGCCCAATAGCTTTTCGTGGTTGAACTCATCGCTGAGACGTCCCTCCACTTAGGCTTGGTAGCACGGGCATTCATCCATCCCAGAATCGGCTTGATGTCCGGATCTTCCTGCTGTGCATGTCGTAGGCTGTCCTTCCACCCGTTGCTGAGATGGTCTGTCCTGAGCATCCTCACGGATACCACTTCCATACTCTCTTGCCTACTACAATGGTTGCAATCTTCAGGACAAGGTCTTCTTGTCAATGCATCTGCGTTGCCGTGAGATTTCCCGCTGCAGTGTCTGATAGTAAAGTCGTATTCCTGCTGCTGCTGGGCGGTGCTGTTAGTCGCACTTCCTTTCTGAGACCGTTCACCTTCCCTTCCTAGGGTGTGCTTAGGGCAGCTGGACCGAAGATGGCCCCTTTCCCCACAGCCATAGCACCTAGGGCTGTATCCTTTGCTGCGGTCACGGACTGTAGCTGCTGCAACCTCCCTGACGCGATGGGAACGACGATCCTGCCGCACGGCTTCCACCTCCAGTGCATGGGCCAAGGCGTTCTTAAGCGTCTCGTGGTGCCCGAGCCTCACAGCAGCTCTGACTTCCAGGTCACGGATGCCGTCGATGAATGTCTGCACCAGGTTCCCTTCAATGAGCGTAGGTACAGACCGGTATGCTTTTCGCACAAGCTTCTCCACTTCTAGAGCCCACTGCTGCAGGTTCTCGTTGCTGCGCTGCACGCGATCTTTAAGCTGCGCGCGAAAGACGTGTTCCAGATGAGCGTCGCCATATCTCGCTTCCAAGGCCTCAAGAAGCAGCTCATAGGTCACTTTCTTACCGAGAGCTTCCAACACAGTTAAGGCTTGGTCGCGCAGGCCTAGGGTGAGTGCAGTCATGGCTTGGCTTTTATTCCAGCCGTTCGCCTCCATGACGGCCTCGAACTGGATTTTGTAGGCCGACCAGGAAGAGGTACCGTCGAACGGTGGCACCTTGAACCCACGTAGCGAAGGTGTTGTAGCTACTACGGGAGCTGTAGCTCCATCTCCAAGTTTGAGTTCGTCCAGTGATTTCTTCATGTCAGCCATTACGTTGTCAACCCGATTGTTCACTTGGTCGATTCGGGTTTCAGCTTTCGCGATTTGGGTTTCAGCTTCCGACAGGCGGTTGTCATGCTGAGCAACCCTATCCTTCACCTCCCTTATCTCTTTCCCGAAGGTAGCGTGAAGGTCCTTCATGAGAAGCATCTGCTCTTCCAACCGACGGGCCTGTTCCTCTTGTCGGCGGGCCTGTTCTTCCTGTCCACCCCGCAGCTGCTCTTTCAACAGACGGGCCTGTTCCTCCTGTCGGCGAGCCTGTTCCTCCTGTCGGCGAGCCTGTTCCTCCTGCTGCTCTTTCAACAGACGGGCCTGTTCCTCTCGTCCGCGCTGCAGCTGCTCCTGTAGCATCGCCATCAGAGCACCTAAGTCAGGTGCTGCAGATGTAGGAGCTAATGACGGGCCCGCAGCCTCCGTGGCTGGCAGTTGGCCCTCCGACATCTGCGCCGTTGCACCACCAAATCTCCGCTGGTCCGTCTCATGCTGGCGTTGACTGCGGGTACGAACACCCTCCGTTTCCTCCTTAGGTAAAATCGGCATGATTTTATCCCACTTCTGACACCAATTGTTACGAGCTTGAGGTTCGTGACAATAAAAATTGCCGATAAAATTACCTAAATTAACACTTTAATTTACTTTACACAATTAAAGTTAAAACACTAATAATTTAAACACACTAATTCACTTAATTCCACTCCGAAGCTTCGCTTGTGTCGCCGAGTTCACTCTGCCTCGATCGCATCTTGCAGCGCCTATATATTTAAATTAGCAAAGAAATATCCAGAATGTTCAAGTAAACACGGGCAAAGTACCGAGCGTTCGAGTTTCGACTAGGCGCTGTCAGTTGAGTGATTTATGGTGTCATTCACTGCAAAGCTCCCCTCGCTCTCGTTCCTGACACTAGATGGCGCTAGTGTATCGTTGACTGGAGCGCGTAACAATATTAAGTTATCATAATATATTGTTTTTTGATTATATTTTTAACTGTTATCTTTTATTTAGCAATGATTTTTTTACTAATGATAACTTAATATAACAGTTGTAATTAGCAATTGTAGGTAATTATAATTGTAATAAACTGCTTTAAAAGTATTAATTATTTATATATGTACTAGTATCTTCTATTGTCAATGAGTCGAGGGTGAGAAAGGGCAATTTTAAGTTTTTCTTAAAATAACGAACTATAATATATAGACAACGATTTTTATGAGCAGGATCGTAAATTTCTGTTTTATCACATTGTTAATAAGATAAGCCAAAAATAAGCAACAACAGCTTTGTATCTTTAAAATAAAAATTTAAAATGTAATGACAAATACAATAAAGTGATCCATTCATTAATAATTTATAAATAGCAACTTGCAAGAAAAATAAGGTTTGATTGTGAAGAAGTTTCTTCATTAGTTAACTGAAAAAAAAAATTTACATTTTATATGTGTATATAAAAGTAACATTTTATGTGTGCATATGTAAGAAATATTTTTGAAGAGATCAATAATCCTTTTCAATTACGTTTTAAATTTGAGGCCTTTATAGCCTAATAATGGAATTTCCTAAAGAACTAAATCAAAATATTAAGCAAAGGTTACTTTATTATAATTACTTTTCAGGTAGCTAAAGAGCACTGTATTGCTATGGTTCAGTGCAAGGTTTTAAAGCAGCTTTCTATCCTGGAGCAAAAGCGTTCCGACGACGAAGATATTATGAGTGATGTGGACTTCCTAAATGAACGCTTGCAAACATCAGTACAAGACCTTAGCTCTTTTGATCAATATGCTACTGAGGTCAAGAGTGGCCGGTGGGTAGTTAAAACTTGTTGAGAATATATTACAGATTTTTTTGTAATAGACATACATTTTTGTGCATATGTATTGTTAGTGAGGAAGAGTTATGCTTAGTTACTAATAAAACAAGTCTCCGATTCACGCCATAAGTAATAAAAAACATAACAGCATTAGGATTCTATTTCACTCTGGTATTTTATGCGAGCGTGGTCTTTGCCTGGTTGAGCTGATTCATTTGCGGCAGCTATGACATGTCACAACGTGGCTTTACTCTATTTAAATCACGGCTTTATATAGTACTAACATCCTTATTACAAATGGGCATTCTTTTCTCATTAATTTCTTAACACAAATATGGCTAGGGTATTTGCCATACTCATATTATTATACTCTATTGCCACTCTGGGGAAGAAAGGTTCTCGAGTGACAGCCTAGTACCGGTAAGCGAAGCATAGGACGGCCCCCACTAGATGGAGTGACGACCTGGTAAGACATGCAGGAAGTGGCTCTGGACCGTGCTTTGTAGCATTCCTTGGGGGAGGCCTATGTTCAGCAGTGGACTTGTGAAGGGCTGTAATGATGATGATGATGATGAGACACTTTTGCCATGTTTAGTTGGATGACATTAGATTTTTTTAAGAAGTCTTACATGCCTTGTATTTATTGATTATAACCTATTAAAAGTCTACTGTTCGACATAGACCTCCCCTATACATTGTTTTACAGGCTGGATATTTACAATAGCTTGGCAAGCAGTTTGGCAACCTCAATTTCTTATTATTTTGTCTTATTATCAGGAAGATGCTGCTTCTCATCTCTGATTCATTTCCTTTTGTCCCTTCTTACTACATCGACCTTCATTCTGCACGAACGGGGTAGAGGATTATCTTAATAATGTATGATGAATATATTTGATTATTTTTTCATATGCTTATTGTCAAAATAATCTCCCTGGTTGACTATTAATGCAACACTCGTGGGCTAAAATGATCCACAAAAGGAATTTTTTTCTTTTTAAAAAAAAATTAAAATATTAGGAATTGTTTTTGTATATTAACACTTTCTTGAGTTCATTTTTGTTTATTAATAAGACTAAACATTGTGATAATAAAACAGTTGTTATAATTTTGAACAGGCTAGAGTGGTCTCCGGTGCACAAATCGGCCAAGTTCTGGCGCGAGAACGCCCCCGTCTCAACGAGCGTGGCCAAGAACTGCTTCGTACCTTGGTCCATTTGTTGGAGAAGAGCCGCGATCCCGTCGTACTCGCTGTTGCCTGTTACGACATCGGGGAGTACGTGCGTCACTATCCACGTGGCAAACAGTATGTTATACAGTATACTATATTTTAACTTTTCGTAGAACCTGTGGTGGTGCTGTCGTCGCGCTACAAGCGAAATAAACCAAAGCCTAAATCGCACTATCAAAGTTCCGAATCATAAACAGAATAGCTCCGAACTATCACACGGAGCGTTGGTCGCTCCCCGAGCAGAACACCTTGCCCGGCGGGAGATCTCCCCTTTTCCTTCCACGGTCACAAACCTATAAAAAATATCAACAAGATTGGTTTGTTATCAATTTATCGTTTATAACCTGCAAACTAAATCAGGCTTGGAAATCTAAATAATTACAAAACTTCTTAAATATCTTTTCTAAACAACCCTTCATCATCATCATAATCTACTGCTGCACCACTGCAATATCAGCTAAAATGATGCACTAACTAGACTAAATAGTTACCAGTGTACTGTGTCAGTAAGTTCGGAGCTAATACATTCCCACTGGTACTTAATGCTGCTGCCCAGTCTCCAATCTGTGTGATTTGGGTTTAGCATTTTGGAGTTTATATGCTGCAATTAGTTAAATTTCTTCTTTGTTATATGACATAAGCCTCTCCCGTTGTAAGGGGGGAGATTGGCCTTAACGTCATGATTGGCAGATAGATTGACTATCGCAGAATCAGACGTCTCGTATTTTACGCCTGGCGTTAACGACCCTCTAACTCGGCCTTTTGGTCTCTTCTGCCGAAGACATTTGTATTTATCAGTTTTTTTTATATATTTATGTATCCCATCAAACGAGAATACAACAAAAACAATAATATCAATAAGGTATTTTTTCAGGCATAGCTCATAATATTTAGAAATATAAAAAGCAAAAATACACATCAATACAATACAAAATAATAAACAAAAATCAAAGTAATGAATGTTCCAAAAAAAAAACACAATACAAAATAATAAACAAAAACCAAAGTACACAGTAATTGCGTAACGAGAACATCTTGTTAGTTTATAAACTAGCTTAACCTACTTACGGCTTTCCGAAAACATAACACCTGGTCGGGTATTCCTACTGTCTATGTGTGGATCATTCCAGCACCTCCAGAGAGGGCTGTTCGACTAGTTTATCAGTCAACGAGCTGAGGTGGGCATTGTTGCTTCTCAATCGTACACACAAGACGCGATACGATTCGTACTGACGCAATAGTTAAGTGACGAAACTGATATGTTAATGCAGTCAGTCTGCACTTTGGCAAAAGTTGTCGTTGTTGTTGTGTCTCTGCAAAATTAAAGATGCAAAGGTTAGTTTGTGCCTATATCATATAAAAGGTTGTCGTGCCTATGCGTCTATTGTCGCCTAAATTAGTCGATAATAGATCGTAAAAGAACGTGCAAAGAGCCGAATCATTTCGCGCCTGCCTGGATGCAGCATACGAGTCACCAGCTGGGCGCGGAGGTGCTGTATTAACTAGCAGCCCTATGCATCCATCGTCCCCACCAGATGTCGTGGTGTCAGCAGGGTCCTCTTGGATTCAGCAAGCGACAACCGCCAGTATTAGAGTACGCCGCATTCGTTAGACAAAATATAATAACAAACGAATTGCAACTTTAGCATTTAAATTTTTGTATTAAAAGACGAAAGGGGAAACGACTGGAAGGTTTGTGTATCGGGCTAGGATTTTTTTAACATGGGGAAATGCTTACGTGTACCCGCCTCGCGGGGGCAAGGACGGGTTATGTCGGACTCGCACCGACTAAAACCCCATAGTGTTCCACCTTCGTCGCATATTGGCAGGCCCACGGGACCGCTTTCGCACACATCTGCGGCCCCACCAGCGCCGGCCGCCCCATGGCGGTACCTTCTCGGGAGAGGAGTACTCTTCCCCATACTCCTTGCCAGTTAAGGCGCACCAAAACACATGGCGCATCTTCTTCCACGGCCTCCAACTAAACCTGCGCAATGGACGCCCCCATGTCCGATGCGCGAAGGCTATGGGCCCAGGAAAAACGAGTACTCAAAAGCACTAGCCTTCCCGACCCCAGTGGTGGATCTGTTCTATGGGTCCGCCGCCAACCAGGATTCGGCTACGGAGAGTAGGGAGAGCGGCGCCTCGCAGTACCGACACTCCTCTCCACCCGCAGCCCCACCACCACCGCATCACCGGTGCGGCCCCGTTTGAGTCACGGAGGATAGGGCAAGTGGCGCTTCGCCATACCAACACTCTTCCTCCGCGACTCCACCTCGGCTGCAGCGGTAGGGGCAGCACACCTTCGAAGTAGGCTTGCCAAACCCACTCGGAGTGGGCACCTCGGGCCGGCCCTTGACCTCAGGCCATCCATGTGAGTTCCTCTTTGTTCACCGAGGCTGACCAAGCCACAGCTACTAAGCCCCCCCCCCCCGCCACGATAAGGCATCGCAGTTTTGCTTGTCACGGGGAAAAATCTAGCAGACAGAGTTCAATACATCACAAAGTCCACGCGTTCTATCTTGGCCAGGCTGTAGTTGGCTCTCTGAGACATTCGCGCGTGTACGAAATCATGGCGGCCTGACAGGACCGTTCATAGAGATGTGCCACTTCATATTCGCTCGTAATATTGCTTAGGGAAATAGTTTATTTATGGATTATATAATAAATGGAAAATTATGTTCACTATGAAAATATGTAATTCAATAAAACAATCTTCATCATTAGCCCTTCACAAGTCCACTGCTGAACATAGGCCTCCCCCAAGGAATGCCACAAAGCACGGTCCTCAACTACCTGCATCTATCGACGTCCTGCATGTCTTACCAGGTCGTCACTCCATCTAGTGGGGGGTCGCCCTGCATTTCACCTACCGATACAAGGCTGCCACTCGAGAACCTTTTTTCCCCATCGGTTGTTAGTTCTTCGAGCTATATGGCTAGCCCATTGCCTCTTCAGCTTACTAATCCGTTGGGCTATGTAGGTCACTCTGGTTCTACTGCGTATATCCTCATTTTTAAGTTTATCACGCTGAGAAATCCTGAGCATAGCCCTCTCCATACTTGAGCGTCCTCACAAGATCAACAGTAAAGGACCACGTCTTAGTTCCATAAGTCATTACTGGCAACACACACAGGTTGTACAGTCTCGTTTTTAGGTTTTGAGGTATAGCTGACGAGAAGATGTGTCGTAATTTCCCGAACGCTGCCCAGCCGAGTTAAATGCGTCGTTTGACCTCTCGGCCAAAGTCGGACTTACCTAGTCGGACTATTTGTCCCAAGTAAACATACTCGTCAACAACTACCGGCATAGGTGTTACATGGATGTTACACATGATCTTTGTTTTATCCATGTTCATCTTAAGACCTATTCATTTGGAGGCACTATTGAGGTCATTGAGCATAGTGCTTATGTCCTCCAGCGATTCTGCCATACAGACTATATTGTCGGCAAATCGAAGGTGAGTGATGTACTCGTTATTGATGTTAATAACGTATCCTTTCCAGTAGCTTGAAAACGTCTTCGAATGCAGCGGTGAAGAATTTCGACGATATAACGTCACCCTATCTTACAACTTTCTACAGTTGGATAGGTTTCGTACGCTGGTTCTGTACTCGGATAGCCATCGTAGTCCTACTGTACAAACACTTCAGCACTTCGATATACCGACATTCAACTTGGCACCGCTGAAGAGACTAGCACCGCCCAAATTTTGACGGAATCAAAGGCTTTCTCATAGTCCACATACGCCAGACAAAGTGGCAGATTGTACTCTTCGAACTTCTGTACAATTTGCCGAAGGGTATGTATGTAGTCTATGGTGCTAAAGCCTTTTCGGAAACCAGCTTGTTCGGGACGCTGGAAGTCGTCGAGTCTGCGTGAGACGATTCGCAATGACTCGCGAAAATAGCACGTAGGCGCGGTTCAGAAGCGAAATCGGTCTGTAGTTCTTCAAGAGAGCGTTGTCACCTTTCTTTACGAACAAGACAACCTCGCTCCTGCTCCACACCTCCGGAGTAGTACCACCGTGGAGGATGGAATTAAAGAGCTTCTAAAGGACTTCAAGTACCGGTTTTCCACCCGCAGCACGTGCTGGAGAGCTCACTCAGACTGACGTACGGTATATCATCGGAATAGTGTCGAATAAGACTTGCTCTTGCATCGTTACTCACACTTGCGTGGGGCTCCAACGATGATATGTTCAGCTGCCCATATAACTTCTCAATCTCATTCAAAATCTCAGGTGTCTCGGAAACAATGCTGCCACACTCGGTCTTCAGCTGCGTCAGTTGGTTGGCTCTTTCTGGCAGATATATCTATGGTAAAGTCTTTTATGGTATTGTCTTTTTATTGAAGTTGCTCAAGTACCCCCCGCATGTATTTGGAGATCTTTCCATTCAGTAGCCTGTATGCTGTCAAATCTGCTAAAGACTACAGCTTCATTTCCCGTCTAACTTTGTTACGAGTTTGATCGGAGAGTTTTTGTTATTTTGCGGCGGATCATATAGCACTTAGCTCCGAACGCATGGACAGTTTCCGTAACCTTGTCATTCATATCGTCCTCTGTATTACAGTCTTCCTAGGCACTGAAAACGGTTTTGTAATTCGAGCGTTTCGTGATTGTGAGTATCAGGTTTACAATGTTGTTGATAAGAGACTTGTGGACGATTAATCCGACACCTTGGGACAGATGGTCGCACTCCCGATGATAGAACAAGTTGCCTAATTCGAAGATTACCGTATCCTCCCCCTCTCTTCGCACCTCGGACAATCCTATAATATGCCAGCGCAACTTGTCTATCTCTTCTTTCAGCTAACAGGATCTTTTCGGCAGTCCTCAGGGTGCGTGCGTTAATTACGGTAAAAAGTTTGAATAGCAAATACACTATATTGTTTTCAGTAACTTCAAAATAACATAATTTTTCAATAAAATCTTCAATGATACGGCAATTTCCTTAGGATCATTTAAGATCCAAACATGATACTATACACTTTGAAAAATTGAAACTAGACACTTTGAGCTACAGTTTGCTTTTTTTTTTTTGCTGTACCATCATTTTCCTCGGAGTTACAGC